GGTGCGCGCCCGGAATCCGAACCCGGGCCGCCAGCAGCGGAGCACGCGCACTTAACCGCTAAGCCACGGGGCCGGCCCCATAAAGTAGGTTTTAAAAAATAAAAGTTGTATTAGTTTCTCAGGGCTGCCGGAACAAAGTACCACCAACTAGGTGGCTTAAACAACAGAAATTTATTGTCTCACAGTTATGGAGGCTAGAAGTCCAAGATCAAGGTTTTGACAATGTTTGCTCCTTTTGAGGGCCATGAGAGGGAGTGACTCTGCCTTCTCCATCTTTCTTAGCTTCTGGTGGTTTGCTGGCAATCTTTGGTGTCCCTTGATTGTAGATCTCTGTCTTCATCTTCACATGACTTCTCCCTGTGTGCGTGTCTGTCTCCAAATTTCCCCTTTTTATAAGGACACCAGTCATATTGTAGCAGGGCTCACCTTAGTGACCTCTTCTTAACTTAATTACCTCTACAGAGACCCTACCTCAAAATAAGGTCATATTTTGAGGTATGGGTTTAGGACGTCAATATGTAAATTTCCAGGGGACACAATTCAACCCATAACATGTGCTAACATATAATGTACTTATTTTTATAAATTAAATTAATAAAATATTAATTTTTTTGTTTTAATTGCTAATATGGCAAATATTCACAGATAGGACCTACATAAACAAAAACTGTTTGGGATCCTCAATGATTTTTAAGACTGAAGGGGTCTTGAGACTAAAAAGCTTGAGACACACTTGTCTATAGTATAGGCTTTTTTTTAAAAGGAAGCTTTGATAATAATTTTGTATGTATTCCTATGGTTTTGACATGGAGTATTTTAATTTTTTTATCTAAACAAATTTAGATTATTATTTTCCTCTTTGACCAAATAGCTTTTGGATGACATTTTAAAATATCCAGATTTTAAATATCCCAGATTAAATATCATCTGGGAAGTAGATCTCTGGGATGGGAATCAGTGCAAGTTTCCTAAAGGAAAGGTCTCTTTTATGGATAAACATAAGAAATGTCTCTCCTCCATTTCATTTTGAATGCTGGTCACAAACCACAGTGGTATTAGCTGGATCTGTGACTTTGTCACCAAGAGAATTCACACATTTTCATATCACAGAACAGTATTGCAGATATCTTGAAATACCATGTGACTCATCACTACTCCAAAATTATGGTAATTACTAGGGTGACTACTAAATTACAGCATTTAATGCATTAGTAAAGGAGCTCTCATATTATTGTAATGGTTTCTTTTTAATTATTTTGATAACTGTATTTCAATATAATTGGCTTCCTTGGTAATCTTGTGCATTTTACGTCATGCGTTTACAAACACAATTCTGAGAAGGGGTCTGCAGGCTTCACCAGATTGTCGAAGGGTTGTATGGCACAAAAAGCATTAAGAGTCTCTGTGGGAGGCAGCCCTGATGGCCTAGTGATTGAAGTTTGGCACACTCTGCTTTGGCAGCCCCAGTTTGGTTCCTGGACGCAGAACCACACCACTTGTCTGTCAGTAGCCATGCTGTGGTGGTGGCTCATGTAGAAGTAGAAGGACTTCCAACTAGAATACATACAACTATGTACTGGGGCTTTTGGCAGGGAGAAAAAAAAAGAGAGGAAGATTGGCAACAGATGTTAGCTCAGGGTGACTCTTTCCCAGCAAAAAAAAAAAAAACAAAACAGGAAAAAGAAAACAAAAAAGAGTCTCTGTGGGATGCCCCTGGAGGACAGCTGTTCCTCTTTCCCTCTGGAACCTCTGTCCTAAGCTGAGAAATCAACTTCTTTTTTACTGTTGGAGCCATTTCACTTTGGGTCTATTTGTTATATAAGCATAGCCTACCTTGACTCAAAGCCAATAGGAAAACTGTGGAGAATTCCAACTCTACCTCTAAGC